CACTGTAACAAACAGATGGAGTACAAGAACTTCGGTGATGATTATGATTTTGAATGTTTTAGTCATGTGATCATAAACTGGGGATTATCCAGTACAGTTTTTCAAGGATCCAATTAATTTGTTTGGCACAAAATTGTAGACATGTACAGTAAACTATCATGATGATCATACATATATACCTGGATGATTAAAACTGTTTTCCCATTTTCACTAATTCTTGTAAGGTGGATTCTTGATTTTTTCTACAAAAATAGAAGATATCGATGCAGATCATGAGACAACGTTGGGAATAGTAAGTTCTCAGCTTATAGGTTTTCATTCCATCCACCTCGGTTAATATAAGTCATGTTTTTATAGTTGATTATACATCAACAATTGACATTTGTTTATACGAGCGATCATATATACTTAGCACAATGTTCTACGCATGATTATATATAAATAAAAACAACTGTACAAAATAGTCTGACATGTTATGATAACAGACAATAATAGGATTTATAAGACAACTTATTTCATCGAAGCATTCCAAGGAATTATGCTTAAACAAAAATATACCCATTAATTGAGTTGAATCATGAATATATGTCTTGTATGAACAAAACATGTTGGAACTTACAATGTTCGAAACAAGAGGAAACCGTACACTGCACTATCTCATTAGTTTTGTTCGTTTGTGTCTTTGGTCCTCACTCTCATCTATTTTCTTCATAAAAATATATAATAATATGATAAATTTCCAGAATCTAATTTGAAAATTTAACATATGAAACTCCATCACATCATAAAGTAATTTGAAAATTTAATGTGTGCAAATCTAACTTAAAGCCTCAAAGACAAGTCAAGGTGGCCAATCTCCTCCTCAACATTATTCTCAGGCCTATATCCACAGTTCATATGGCCAGCAAACCTACCAGCATGTCCTTGATGTTCTTTCAACCCACCAAGATTATGTGCCTCGTGAATTTGCCTTGGATGACTTGAATCGCTGAAGCTATTAGACCCTGCAGGCCTCTGGTTCGAGCCTCCATGAGCTCGGGCAGCGGAGCTTAGCTGCTCTCTGCTTTTCTTGGCTAAAGTCCGCTCGAGCTTGTGAGCATTTTGGTGGCCTCCAAGTGCTTGTGAGCTGTAAAACTTTCTCTGGCAATAGTTGCAAGAAAACACACGCGGTTGTTCTGAAGCACTGAGAGATGATGAGGAAGACGTGTATGATGGCTCCAGGACAAGATCTAAATTGACTTGGTCGTTGGGTAGGCTTAGATGAAGAGAAGTATTGGGCCGAAAATCCATGCGAGAGAGAGAGAGAGAGAGAGAGAGAGAGGTTGAGGAAAATAGCTGTAGCTAGGAGCAAGCAAGGTAACTAGGCTAGGGAAGATTGAAGAGAGGAGATTAATGTGAAGTAGAGGGAGGGTTTTTCTGGGATTATATCATGAGGCTTAAAGCATCACCATTCCTGTAACCACAAATAGTAAATGCAGTGAAATGGAGGTGGCCTTATAATAGTGTCTGTGTGTGTGTGTGTCTCAGAGAGAGAGAGAGAGAGACAGAGACAGTTTGCTGCAAAGATCAGTGGGGAATCGAAGTGTTGTCGCCTCCATTAATGGCAGCATTACAATCTCCTGTCGGTCCATGCGAAATAATTAATTCTACAGCGTTCCTTTTATAACTAATTAGAGGATAATAAACTTACCAAATTAGAGGATAATAAATCGCGTTGTTAAACAAATACTTATATTTTACAACTTTTAACCTCAAGGCAAGAACTAAACTTAATTCGTAATTCGCAAAGAACTTGAGAACTAAACTTAATTCGTAATTCGCAAAGAACTTGTAGCTCAAGTGATTAAGAGTATTTACTCTACTGAACCTAAGGTCTTAAGTTCGACTCCCCTCTCCTTTAATATCGCTTGTATCAAAACTTAATTTTTTATTCAAATTCTTTGAAAATATAAACATCTAACAATATAGCGAGAGAATGGTAAACTTATTTGTACTTTATAATGTAAAGAGCTTTATTTAATAAATATCATGTACTATCTCCTGCAAAAGATTTGATTTATTTACCCATCTAATCATGGGACCAATCTTTTTTGACAATTCCCTACCTCCCTTATCTCTAAGAGTCTAGAGATGATGCAATATCTTATCAAATTTCTATTATAAGTACTTAATGGCAAACAAGATAAACCATCTTAACTAGTCTAAACAAGGAACAATAATTGATATATAATCACCTTGTATAATTAATTGATCAAATACCACCGTCATGATGTTTGGAATTTCTACCATCTACATGTACAAGTCTTAGGTTAATGGTCAGAGTTGTCAAAAGACATGTTGAATTTCTAATTTCTTTATGTTTGGAATTTTATTATGAGCAATTTCATGGCTCTTTCCTTCTGATGATTCACTTCCAAAGTTCAAAGTTCAATTACGTACGTCAATCTAATGCCATATAATATCCACTTCCTGAATTCATAAGATAATTGTATAAGCATGCTTTCTGTCTGCTGGTAAGCAAATTACAAATTTGGGATTTTGTTTGTCTTTAGAATTAACGTTTTGCGGTTTTTTGCACATGACATGGTTGTAGGAAGATTATAAAATTGCTCCAAGGAAGTGCTAAGAATAGTGTATATATATATATATATATATATATATATATATATATATATATATATATATATATACACTCTTTTTAGCACTCCCTTGGAGAAATTTTATAATCTTCCTACAACCATGTCTCGTGCAAAAAACTTATCACATTATAACAAAGATGAAATTTTACTTATAAAATAAATTATACTATCAACTCTCTAAACTAGTACTTAGTTTAGTGGTGTTTCTATTTCAAAAGATGAAAAAGTTTCGAATTCGATTCCTTCTCCGTTATTAATTAAAAAATAAAATAGATGAATCCTACGCGGATCTCACCTCTCTAAAGAGTATAGTCTCGGCAATCAAGTAAATATGCACTATACTAATAGTTTTGCCATTACCAAAGGGTGGGCCTACATTTTTTCGGCATGCAGCAAGTTCAACCTGTTTTTAGTTTTTGTTATGCTAAGTAAGTTTTAGTCTAACTAATGATGTTTTGTTTTTTTTTTTTCTTTCAGAATTACTATATATAATATCCAGAGGACAATAAGCGAGCCGAGCACATGGGTTAAGGGATATAATAGCACTGGCAGACAAATTAATTCCACTGTGTGCTCCCAAAGAGGTGGTAAAATATAGCTCAGGTCAAGGTATAATCTTGTTAATCATAAACAAACATAATAAGAAATTGGATTACACCATGATTGTGGGATCATAATCTTGCAGGTCGGCAATGATTGCGGTGAACTTTGTCTTTGAATCCCAGACACAACAGAAACCAAGAAACTGCGTACTCTTTCTGTGTCTTGCTAATCCAAAATCGCCATAAGAGATCTTTCCAAGGAACATTAATTCCTCCCTCTTGAACCACCTACCGTTATCTGTCCCTCTTCAAGTACTTTAACAATCCCAAAACACATGGGAGTGTATGAGACTCAATTATCAAGTTATATTCTACACATATATGCATTTACGAACGGTGGATTTTCCTTTCTTCTTCTCTTTCATTGGCTGCTTGGACACTTATAAATGTTGATAATTGGTTTAACAAACACATTTCGGGGTGGGCCTAGATGGGTGGGATTCATAAAAAATAGCTTGAACTCAACTTTAATCAAATTCAAGTCGAGCAACTAAACGAGCCTGGATTACAATTTCATCAGTAATATATATAATTTTAGAAAGAAAAAACCCTAGTTGGTACAAATCAAGTTTTGTTTAGTTTCTTTTCAATTTTTTTTTTTATCAATCATGTTTTTTGATGAGCAGGATTTATAATCCTAGTCAAATGTTTGGCGGTCTAAAAACAACATGGATTGGATTATGTCTAATCCTACTAGACCCAAATAGAGTAGCATTATAAATCACACCGAAAGGTTGGGATTAAGTTGGATTGCATTATGTCTAATTCTGTCAGGCCATGTAAATATTTTGTTAATCCAACCCCTTAATTATGTGTGCAACCAAACACATCATTGAATTAGTATTATCCATCCTAATTCAATTCTACCTTATGAATCAATCCAATCTCATACACCAAATATGTCGTTAGAGAAAACTTGAAAAATGAAATTAAATAAATTAGAGAGTCACATGGAAAAGCGGCATGTATATAGACAAGAGCAATTGAGGTGAGGAGCCTCCAGTTCTGCGTTTGGATACGGCAATATCTTATGAAGATCAAAGTAAGATGAGGATGGTAGTGGACATGTTTGTGTTTTGTCGGCTTTTTATAGATTAAGGTGGGTTCATGGACGGCCTGAGTCCGATGACTCATTTGCTTTTATTTTCTGAATACACGTGGATAATGACTCTTACTGTGCTTCGCTCATCAATCGAACGTCCATGAGTCCGATGAGTCATTTGCTTTTATTTTCTGCATACACGTAGATAATGACTCTCACTGTGCATTGCTCATCATCGAATGTCGTACGTCATCCATTTTACTATGTTCCATATCCATCTCTCTCTCTCTCTCTCTCTCTCTCTCTCTCTTTCTCTCTCTCTCTGGTCTGGTATACATATATTCTTGTGGATGTGGATTTCAGCTTTGTGTAGAGTCATGATATGTGGTTGAAATCAAACTCGTGTGAGCTCCAAAAGGATATAAACCTCATCTCTTTCAAAGCCTTTGATGTTGAAACCCAACTTTGTATTTTAGTGCTGCTTGGCTGCCATGAGTTAGAGAAAGTAGGATCCTGCTTCAATCCACTTTCAATTGGCTCCCCACTTTCTGCACTTTATTTTTGTTTCATCTCTGGATCGATCAATTGAAAAGGTTTAACTATTGTGGGGTGCTTGGTCTCGAACAAATCATAAGAGGGTTTCTAAAAGTCTCTTCTCTTGTTATTAAGAAAATGCTTAAATGCAAAAATGGTCGTTGTGTTTTACTATATTGACCTGTTTAGTCCTTATATTTTTAATTTGGCCAATTCAATCCTTGTGTTTATAACCGTTAGCCAATACTTGCTCATTCTGCTAAATTTGTTATTAAAGAAACATGATAAAACATTTTTTTTCTTTTGAAAACCTATAAACCTTTTTAAAATTAATAATAAAAAACTTAATGAATCTAAAAATATTATAAATTCATTAAAAGTAAATCATAATATTATTAGAGAAAAGAAAAAACTTGAATAAAAGTAGGATTGGTTGTCCGAGAGAGGAGGGTCTGCCCAAGGAGTGGAGACGATGGAAGGAGGGTGATGAGAGGAGGGTCAAAGGCCGGCCTTGAGCCTGGGGCCCCACGGAGACGGCTTAAGGCCTCGGATCAAGGGCCTCAAATTATATATATAATTGTTCAAGCCCATATTAAATGGATTTTTTGAGAGTTTAAAAATACAAGGGACCAAATAATAACCACTTTAAATCTTTAACAATACAAGGGCCCATATTTAAGAATTAAAATTATAAATAAAAAAAATCATTTTTTTTTTGGAACAACAAACATCCAATTAATCCAACACTTTCTTTAAAAAAAAGTGTTTAATTCTTCTAGTTTGATGACTTTTGTGTTCTCAACAATGGAAGTTGATGATAGAGAAGATTTTTTAATGGAGCGTGATGGAGAAGATGGGTTTGGGTTTTTTCATTTTTTACGTTTATTTTTTAATTTGTTTTGTTTTCACAATATTTTTCAATATAATAATATAAAAAATTCAAATAGTAAGTCACGTGTCCTTTACATGACTTTTTGGATGGAAAAATTAATGAAATTAGAAAATTTTGACGATAAGGGCTAAATTGACTGTTTTAATTAATTCGAGTTAGTTAATTTAGGAGGTTTAGTTTGATTAGGGTCATAGTTCAAGGAGTAAAACGGCTGAAAAAATCCTTTAATTAATTACTGCACTTCAAAGGATGACCAAATGCAAACCAAATACTAAGACACACCTCTTTTGGAAACTTATTTTTCGTTCACTATAGAAATTAAATAATATTTAATAATATATAATTTCCAACACCATATAGCATTGATATTTGTTTCATCTTCACACATATGAGGTAGTCTTGATATTTTCCTATTAACTTGTCACCTTGAAACCCTAATTGGGTAGGCCTGCAGCCAGCCTTGCTCTCAAGTCTTTTCTCAAGATTTTGCCAGAAGGTGCTATGGGTATTTTGTCTGTGAAGAAAACCCGACCAATTCTCTTATAGAACACCACCTGCACATATAACATGTAACAATCACAAAAAAATTACTTAAAAAATTTATAACTTGTAAGAAAGTATATGTGCACACATAGGATCGCCTAGAATTTTCAGCTTGAATTCCGTCTCATCGTAAAAGAGAACTAAAGTTTGAATCTCCTTCATAATGTTAAAAGAAATCGAGTTTGAATCTCTCCTCCT